GGACGGAGTGTGGATGCTGTGGCCTCCCTGCCCATCGCAGCCCCCTGAGGGACCGGGGTGAGGATGCCGGGCCCCTCTGCCCATCGCAGCCCTTTCACGGACCGGGGTGAGGATATCGAGCCGCCCCTGCCCATCGCAGCCCCCTCAGGGAGCGGGGTGAGGATGTCGAAGCCCCCCGCCCATTGTAGCCCCCTCAGGGACCGGGAAAAGGATGTCGGTCCCTCCAGCGCATCGCAGCCCCCTCAGGGAGCGAGGTGAGGCTGTCGAGGTCCCCAGCCCATCGCAACTCCCTCATGGACCGGGAGAAGGCTGTCGGTCCGTCCAGCCCATCGCAGCCTCCTCACAGACCGGGACTGGGGATGCCGGGACCCCTCAGGAGCCGCCGGCGCCGCGGGGGTTAATGCGGCGCGGCCGCCAGGGGGCGGCGCCGCGCGCGCGCTGACAGCCGGCGCGTGCGCGCTGGCGCCTCATTGTGCCCGGCCGGCCCGGCCCCGCCGCGCCTCAGTCGGCGAGAGGCCGCGGGCGCGCGCGGAGCTGCTGCCGCTGCCGCCCCCTGCGGCCGCCGCCGCCACCTCCGCTCCGCTTCCCTCCCCTGTCCCCGCCATGGAGTGAGGCCCCCGCCGGACGGCCGGACGGGGGGGCCCCGCCGCGCCTCGATGGCTCTGGTCACGGTGCAGCGCTCGCCTACCCCCAGCGCCACCTCCAGCCCCTGCGCCTCGGTGAGTCCCGGTGGGCGCTGAGGGCAGCGCGGGGCTCGGCGGCCGTTGGGGTCCGGCGCGGGGCGCTGCGCATGCGCCACGCCCCCTCCGCCTCACCCCCCGGTGCCGCCGGTGCCCGGGCCGGGGGCGATGCGGGCCCGCGGTGCCCGGGAATGGGGCTCACACACCCCTGGGCTGTGGCCTGCTGACAGCCGAGGGGGCGGGCGGGGGTCCCGGTGCCCCTCAGCAGGCCCGGGCTGGGGCAGGGCAGCTCCCTCCCGGCCCTCTGGTATCGCAGGGTCCCGATCATACCCAGCCCCTCTGTGAAGGGGCTGTCCATAAATCCGCCCGGCTTATTCTGTGTTCGTTGTATGCGGTGGGAGAGGCGGGAAACGTGTGTGGAAGCGACCTGACACGGTTGGGGCTCCGGCCGTGCTCAGCTGATCTCATCTGACAGCACCCTCTGGGTATCCCCAGTGCCCGGCTCTGCCTTGGCGGGCAGCTAAGGTGGTTTTCTCCCCCCTTTTTTTTACAACGGTGCATGTAATCTTCAACAGGCTGTGTCAAGCCTAGGAGAGACACAGAACGGCCAGATTCCAAATCCCTGAGTGAGATGTGCGGCAGGACAGATGTTCCCATCGCTGCCCTGGGTTGGGCAGGTGGCTATGAAGGCTTCTGCCTTTCCATACTCTTTAAACTCGGGGCTGTTGTTTTGTTTGTTGTTTGTATGTCTCTATTATAAACGCATTCATATTAACCCCTTAAGCTGCTGCCTACCCCCTATGTGCCGTTTCTGATGTAGTCAAGGATGAGAATGAAAATAGCTTTGCTTTCAGTTCTGTATGCTTAGTTCTAAGTTAGCATTTATCCTTAAAAAACCTCATGCATTATCACACTGCTGTTACGCCTGGTTTGCAAATGTTTGGAGGAAGAGAATATTTGAAATCCCAGTTGGTTCCATCCTCAGTGGGGGGGAATGAAAAAGCCAGCTACTCTGAAAATATTTCTTGTTGTGTTAGGTAACCTCTTCTGAAACTAGATCAGTTACTTGACAGGTCCTGCCTGCCCCAATGGCATTTTAGCTGTCAGAACACTTTTTTTCACTTTTTTTTCCCCCTGTCTTTCATTCTCATGTCTCTCCTAAAGTATGTTTACTTAGCAACACAGATTAATTTCGCTTATACTTACCTGCTATAAATATTAATGTGCTGCATTACTTCAGAGATTTCTTACCCCTCTGACTTCTTTACCCTTTCCACTATTCTCTTCCCATACATTTATAGCATGGAATGCATCTAGTGAGAACAGATAGGTCTCTCTTGGCATCTTCCTTCTTTCTCTCACTTGGATCCATCTTCCTCCTTTCTCCCACTTGGATGCACAGACCCTCCCTTTGTTAAATATTTTATATATATATGAACAATTAGTTATATTCTCTAAAGCTTTTCCATCTGCAACAGCCAGGCTGTTTCCCAGCCAATTAAATTAAATTGAAACCGTACTGATATTTGGATACTACTTAGTTGTTAAATATAAAAACAACTCTCTGTGGAGTCTGATAAATGCAGAGGGTGCAGCCTTGGGTTTATGTGTCTGTATTCTCCTTCTCCCATGCCATGCTATGGAAGTGTATTCTGTACCAGAAATAAGTGTGTGCCATATTCCTAGCCTGGTTTTGGACCTCATAATTACTTCTGCTTTCTCAGGCTTCTCTTGCAGTGTAAAATGAACTTGATTTTCATCACGATCTTAACTGCTATTGCTTGAACACTTCTGCATTTCCTGTTGCAACTTCCTAACCACACTTCAGGACTGGCTGCCCTTTTAGCCTCTTAGATATCTGGGGTGGGTTGTTTCTCCCTCCTGTTAGAGCTCGTGCATGTTCCTCCTTTGCCACTAACTTCTTGTTTCTTAATGAAAACATTTCAGATGATTCTCCTTCCTCATCTGCTGAGGGTTCGTGAGCAGGGCAGACACATTCTTAGGAAGGCTTTGCTCCTAAGCCTGCCATGCTTGCCATTCTAATGGGTCCCTGTCAACCTGCAGCAGGAGGACTTGATTCTTTCAGTTTTAAATCACATTGTTTCAACCAATCTGTTGTAAACTGATGGTAGCTTCCTTTGACTGTTTCCAGGTTACTCCTTTAAATGAAAGCTCATCTTGCTCAATAATTTTATCAGTAGTATCTCCTTGCTGTTTCTGAGCAAAGATTATTTGGTGTCTGCTGGAACTTAGCTGCTTCAACTTGTGGACAAGGGAGAAGCATGTCAGTGTGCAAGCATATGGCTATGTCTAATTCTGTTTCCAGGTCACTAAGAATTTTGAGGACAGAAATGGATTCTCTTTTTAAATTGCTTGATATCTTTTTGCTTCAGAGATAAACTTCTCAGGCAAGGAGAAAGGGTGAAATTAGTGTCCTCAAACTGGATTTTTTGCATTAAGTGTGCCCTATAAACTGTTATAATTGGCTCTTATGGATTCAGGGGAATAGCTGATCTGAATCACTCTGGAATTGGATGGCTTTTATTTATAGCTTTTTATCTTGTTCTCATTGCCACAGAGCATCTCACAAGCATTCATTTCAGAGTAGTTCATGCAAAGTGTTGATTATACATTTACAGGCCTCTGGTTGCTTGATGACTTGTAAAATTCCTTTAATTGTCTGTCCAGACTTTTGCTGTTTGTTTTGGCCTTTGGTTATGCAGTCACTCTTGAGAAATGAGACTACAATCTTCAATCCTTACAGCAGAACAGTTGTCTTCTGATGTGCCATGTTAGCAGAAAGTGGTGGCAGACAGGACCATGTTACAGTAAAATACAAAGATGCCATGAGGTCCTTGGTGCTAATGCTGATGTATTGTTCAGTGCAGTTCTTGGCAGATAATTACCTGTATTGGAAAAAATCTCTAGAAACTTGGCCTTCTAGAGTATTTTTGATGCACAGTTACAAAAAAACTGTGTCTGTGATTTCTGGAAAGTACTATTTTCCTTTTGTTTATTATATTTCTTTCCTGAGAAGTGAAGAAACTGGGCAGGCAGTCTGGCCCTGTCTGCTCTCACTTGTCTTCCCTAGCTCGAGGGAGACAATATGCTTTTATTGGAAGGGACCAACTGACCCAAAAAGAGAATATAGCTGGATATAAATTGTTCTAAAATGCACAGTTTGGGGAAAAAATATGCTAAAGCAAATTAAAACCTAAACCATTGGACTTCCTCTCCCTAAGCCCAGGAGAACAGCTTGAGCAGGAAGTAGAGTCCTGGAAATGTGTTTGGGAGTGTCTGTCATGTTGTGCTTGGAAGCTCCTTGCTGGTACAATGTACAGGAAATATTTTCCCCACTTCTTTATGGGGAAGCTAAATATAACATTTCTCTACCCCTGGTCCTGTAACTGCTGTTAAACAATGTGGTAATTGTGAGTTTACTTAATCATTGATAAATCCAGTCTATCTCATGTAGAACTTATTTTTCTATTTTCTTCTTCTTTTTTCTTAAATAAATTAAGATCTTGATTTCTGCTGCATGGGTAAGGTTATGGAGAGTTGACTTTTGGAGGGAGCTACAATGAGTGATCAGAAGCTTCTTATGAAATATTTAGTAAAGTTAGGAATACCTAATATTTGAAGATGCTCTGATCAGTACATATCATCTATTGTTTCTTGGTTTTCTCCAACTGATGTCTTTCAGGTATAGCCAGAGCTCACTCTGAAGTTTTCAGAGGCAGTGGCCCAGAAGAATGAGCTGATTCCTGCTTTAGGCAAACCTTGTAGTGCCCTACAGGTACATGTCTCCTCTGGTGCCAGCTGTCAGCATTTGGGAGATAAAACCGTTTCAGTGATGTGATCTGTAACTTCCTGTCTTTCCAACTTCTCCTTCTGCTGAAAGCCCTGTGAGGAAACCAGGAGATCTCCACCTCTTGCTGGGTGTGATGCTGTGTTGTTAAGAGATGATTTCTCTCCAGCTGGACAAGACCAAGCTGTTGGAGCACAGATAATTCTCGTGTGTGTAAATGCATTCACATGCAAACTGTTCCTAAAGCAATTTGATGGTCAAACACTGACAGAAGACGTGTCCTTCTCTGGAATATCTGCTGCTTGTGGTATACACACTTAGCCAGTTTCCTCTAGGATCTGCATGAAATGCAATGTCCCCTTAGAGGTGAGAACAGTATTTGCAGCTGAGGAGGATGATGACAGTGGAATTGGAGCCTCACTGAGAACCACAGAGAACCATTCTTAAAATTTGCAGAGTGCAGGAAAAAATCCTGATCTTTTTAAAAGAGATCTAACTCCTTTTGTAGCATATCTCAATAATAACTTGATTTCAGTTTTCACTTCTTAAGTTTCAGTGGTGCATAAATTCTTGTGTTTTGAAAAGGAGCTTGTAATTGGAAAATGCAGATAGCTTGTGATGCTGTAATGAGTCATTATCTGACCAGTATTGATCCTTGCAGTTTAAGAAAGGAAAATAAGTTGAAAAGGGCAGGATACAGTAGCATCTACAGTCATTCTGGGAGCCAATGACATGTTTATTTAAGTGGAAAATGCTATTTTGAGCGGAGACTACCATCCACAAAGCAGTCTACTGGAAATATTTTAGTGTAAGAGAGCTGCCTTTATGCAGGAGTAATGCCTGAGGATTTCCAGTTACTGGAAAAAATCCTGAAAGATCTAAAGCTGCAACTCTTCTGTCTTGGGAAATGAAAAAGAAAAAAAAAAGGAAAATAGCCTTTGGGCAGCTCAGCTTAGTGTAGCTGCTCCCTGATCACAGCCTGCAGCTCAAGGTTTCATTCTTCAGTCACAACAAACCACATCCTCTCAGGACCAGCTGAAGCAAGGGGGGCTCTTTGCAGGCTTTGCAGTCTTTGAGTCTGACTCTTGCTGATGCCCTTAGCAAGAAGTACAAATGGAGCTGCTGGTCTGTGACCAGTGCTGCCTTCATATGAGCTGGCCCTGCCACTCCAAGAGCACTTAGGCTGGTCAGCTGCCTTCTCCAGGTGTTCCAGTTGTTTAGTTCAGCCTGAAATAAAGGTATCTCCACTCTGTGCCATTGATTTGCCTGAGCGTCCTTTTAATTTGATTATTGGGTAGTGACAGTGAAGCTCATATCTTCTGCATAAAAGGGGAGTCTTGGAAGCAGGAGAAGAAAGAGGTGATACCCATTGGAAGTAGTCAGTGATTTAAGCAAGGCACATATTGTTTCTTACCTTTTGGCTGGCAGCTGTTCCTCTGGAGTATTCTGTTTAAAGGGATGAAAAATTATGAGGGCTAAAAGCCATTTTTGCATTTCTGAGTTGGGCCATATAAATTGATTAAATTACTGTCAACCCAACCATCTGCAAAATGTCTTATCCCAATACTGCAATATCGCAGTGTATGTGTTGATGTGTTTTAGTCAGCATTTGGGCAGGCTTCTGTATATAGGGGTTTGAATGTGTCAATAGCTTTTTGCCCAAATAGAATTCCTCTGAATATGCATCTTATCAGCGTTGCTCATTGCAGGCTGCTCTCCTCTCGGAAGGCAGAAAACGTTGCTGTGAGATGAGTCACACGGTTTAACAGCTTGTTGCTTCCATGGTGAGACGCACCCTTGCTGTGCATGCCAGCGATCATGAAACTCCTGGCAAATGCCCTGTGACGTGAACTCCTTATGGCCCCGGTAAATGGAACGCCCCTGGCACTCGGCGTTGTCCTTGTGGCTCCTCGCTGCTTCTGGGTGCGCTGCTCCTCCTCCTCCCGCTCACAAGGGACTCCTAAACTGAGGCTTCATGGAAATTATGAAGTTACTGCATTGGTGGGGGCTGTTTCAGGGTGAAATTACTGGGGAATTTAAGGCCACAGTGTTAACTTCTTGTATTGAAGTAATAAAGACATTAGAGTATTTCATCTGACCTGTTTTGAAAGAAGTGTTTTATCGCAGATCATACTGTCCCTGTACTGAGCTCATACCAGAGCTCATGAGGTGGCTTTGATGCTGGAGCTTTCCTCTGCTCTGCCAATGGAGAAGCGCAGGAGATCTTGGAGAAGTAAATTCCAGAGATGTTGTCTGAGGAATTGGACTGCAACTTCTAACTGAATTAAATATCCGAAAAGTGAATTTTAATGTTGAAAGCCAGTCCTGTCCCAGGGAACTGTGGTTGTCCTATTCTCACTGGCTGCTACCATGTCCCTTTTATTTTGATGTAGAGACCTATCGTATTTAAAATTGCAGCAAGAACTTTTAAGACTTGTTCAACTGGCTTGGTTTAGCTTCATCAGCTGACATCTGAGAAGTGTGTACATTAGGATTCTTCAGAAAAAAAACCTGAAACAAAACATGCCATGCTTTTCATCTCTACCCATTTTACAGGATGATGAGAGGGAGGGATAGGGCATGTGCCTTGCATGTGTAAAATGCTTTGCTTTCCAAAGGAAAGCTGGCTGGTAGTTAGAGGTAGTCTGACTCTTCTGAGTGGTGCAGGATCAACCCTTTCACTCAGTCCATCTAAAAATGGAGTTTCCCACAAGTCTGAAGCTCCTGAATGGACTGCAGAGAGTCAGCTGATGTCTGAGCTTCTTGTACAGTAGCAGGTATCCTTTGGAGCCTGCTGTTCCCTTGCAGTAGTTGTGAGTTCTGGAGCATCTTCAATAGGAAACAGGGTGTCACACTGGAAATTTAGCTCATGAGTTGCTGTGGGGCAGGCAGGGAAGTGACTCAGCTCTCTGACCTACAGACACTAGCTAAACCTAGGTACAAGAGGAAGTGCTAGGTGATGAGATAAAGGTGTTTCTGGAATAAGGATTGATTCTTTTTTTGTTGTTCTTTGTTTCTGTTGTTGTCTTTCTGTTTTTGTTTTCCTTTCCGCAGTCCTCCTCAACAGCTTTAAATAGTTTAAAGACAAACAGCTCTGGGCATGTTCTTCAGAGATGCTGTAACCACTGCATTTAAATACAGTGCTTCAAGATGTGGTAGGAAATAGCTACCTAGGTGCTGTATTGTCTTCCTGAGTGAAGTGCAAACCTTGAAATGACAGCCCTCCCCTTTGCCCTTTCACATTGCAGAATGGTTGACAACGATTTAATTCACTCTGACCAAATATTTTTCTTATGTATATCTAGCGAGTTTCCTTACTGGGAGTTTGCTGGTTTTTTGTTTGTTTTGTTTTGTGGGGTTTTTTGTTTGTTTTTGTTTGTTTGTTTGTTTTCAGCTGAGTTGTGCCTACCTGGGGGAGCAAGCTTGTGACTTCAAAAAGTGAAGTGAGACAGGACAACTTTGACCTTTTTGTTCTTTGCGGTGTTTCTTTCTCATGGTAGTATTTTGGTTCAGCAGCAGTTAATAAAATGTGTAAGCCTGAATTCCGCTTCTTAATGAATCTTAAGACAGCAGCTACCCCTGTAGTGTGAGTTGAGTTTAATATTGCATAAACTTGTCAGGACAGTTGCACATGGGAATCAAATATTAATATATTATCTCTTGCTTTTAGTGTTTGCCTGCCACTGCATCCCTCAGCCCTTCACCATGTGGCTGCCTTGGTGCTGGGAGTTGTCCTGTGCAGCTTCTGCTCTGCTCCTAATCTCAAATAAGAGATTATCAGGGAAAACCAATATGAGCAGAGCATATTTTCAATCCCCTTCCCAAAAATTTGGCATAGTTGTAGGATACTTTAAGGCAAGGGAGCTATTACTAGTTAACATTTATAGTATGACTGGAATGGAGTTTGCACAGTCTCAGTGGGTGAAGTGAATATTTTTCACATACACTTTACAGATCCCTGGTTTCAACTTGTGCTTCATGCTGCAAAGATAACAACTGTGCCACATGCTTCTGCAACCCACACTTCTGGTTCTTGAAGTGGAATTTTTCTCCTTTACACATAAACCAGAAACTGCTGTGGTGGGGAGGAAGCTCTGTTTAACTGAGATCTGTTCACGTTGACCGTACATGGCTGAGACGGTTATTTTGGGGCAGTTTCTGTCTGCTTCTCATATGACTGAGAAAGCTCAAACGTGACTTTGCCTTGAGGAGAAGGGAAAAGTTTGAGAACTTTTTTTTTAGTATTTGAGGAGAAGATGGCATGAGCCAAAATAGATTTTTAAGCTTAAGCACTTGCTCACATCTTAGTCTTGAATTTGATAAGTGCACCATTTTAAAAGTAAAGTAATAAAAAAACTGAACAAAACCAAAACTAAACAGCCCCCTCCCTACAAACAGCCCCACAAAACCCCAACCCAAAACTACTCAGCTTGTTTAAAATTTGAACTTGCAAGTTTGATTTTAGGACAGATGTGCCCAGAATGCCTCAAGCCAAAGGGAGTACATGACAGAGACAGCCTGAGGTGAGAAGTGATATGTACGTGTCAGAATTTCATTTGCTCGCTGGGAAGTGGGACATCCTGGACACAGTTCACCCTCCTTAAACTTCACTTTGGTGGTGAACATTCTCTGCATATGCTGTGGGAGATGCTGAAGAGCCCTGATGGGTGAGGGATACCGGCAGGGTTTTAGTGGAGAGTCTTTTCTGGGGGCAGATGGGGAGTGATTTCCTGGCTGAGTGCTGATAGTTTGTTGCTCTCCGTGGCTTGGCACGGGTTCAGTGCTCTGTGTGGTGTGGAAGCACGCTGTGTAAAACGTGAGAACTTCCTGCTGTGATAAGGAACCAACAGTTCTTCCAACAGGTGCAGTCTTTAGCTGCAGTCCTGAAGATGTAACAGAAATGTTTGCTGTCATGGGCCTTCAATATTGTCAATCTCAAACTGAGCCTGGCCTGAATGCTTCAGAAGGCAGAGCTTTGCTTTTTGCCTTGCACTGCTATGATAAGAGAATTAGGAGGGGAAGCTGTGTTCAAGAATCTCTAATCCATGATGGTGGCTGTGACTGAAATGAATAATCTTATTTTAAAGGGTGCTCTAAACCACTAAAGCTTTATAAATATTAATTTTGTTCATTTGTTTCCTAATAAAAGGGTTTTATTCATTAAATCTCTATTTATTTATTAACCTGACAAACTAATAGCAAACTCTCTTCTTTCAGTGTATGCATGTGCCATATCACAATTCTGCCTGTCACTGTAATAAGAACTTAATTCATCTGCCTTAAAATGTCATTGATAACAACCTGGCAGTGGCCCAGCTTGGAGCAAGTTAACTACAAAAGACTGCATTGTAAACCTTTCTGAGAGTACATGCTACATTAAGTCTAAATTTAAAAAAAAAAAAGAGCAAGAAAGAGAAATGTGCAGGCTGGTCTGAGCATCATACAACTGCCAAATAGCTTCAAACCTCTGAAAAAAGAAAGGAATTCTGTACAGAGGAATTCTGGCTGCAGATGGGTTAGCTTGGAATGAAGGATGCACTCTGCTCACTTTAAAATCTTTGGGGTACACTAAATTTATAAGCCTCATCTTAAAATGAGAAGGAATGCCTTGCTGAACCACAGGCAGCTAAATAAGAGCTTGGACATGTAAGGATCTTGTTATTTCCTTTAGTCTGGTCTTTCTGTGACTGGGATAAAAGCTACAATCTGAAAATAGTCACATGCCTCTGGAGTTAACTGCTAGGAATACTGTAAGTTTGTCTTGATTATAGAAACCTTTCCTGACTCCATCTGCAGCCTGTGCACCAAACCTATTTATCCACCCATAAATTCAGAGTGCAAGGAGGAACTACACTACAGTTCAAATATCTGGTCTCTACCAGCTCCTCTGGAGGAGCTGAGCTGCTCCTTGCTCTGCAATCCTGTGTATGGGGCTTCACGTTCATGGAGGTTTAAGGCTTCCTGCCTTTGACTCTCCTCTTCTTAAAACTTACAAATTGAATTAGTAGCCTGGGTGAGGGTGAACTGATCTGTCCATGCAATTGATGCAGAGTTTGTGAACTTCATGGAGAGAAGCTGTCGGGGATGTTTAAAATGGGCTGTGTCCTGTGCTGCATGTGAGGGCTGTGGGGTTTGCTACAGCCCCTGACTAGCCTAGGCAGCCTCACTGAACAATTTAACAGCTGAGTTGACCGTGAAGCTTTAGCACGTCCTCGTCCAAGGTCTTCTGGGAGCACTCTAAGCATGCATTAAATACCATGGCTCTCATCCTACACTCTAGACATGGCAAAGGCTCAGGCAGGGTGGGGAAGGGCTTGCTCACAACTGATGGGTTTACAGTTGGATTTCTTAACTGGAACAGGGACTGCAAGAGTCTTTAAAAACTAAAAACCCAAACCCTGCAATTTCATGCTGCTTCACTTCTGTGGTTTTTGTTTTGTCTCTTTCTTAAGTATAGTGTATGGACAGCGCCATGGGTTAGGGAACACTTCAGCTTCATCTTCAGAGACTTTTCGTATGTAGCCTTCTGCTGAAGTCAATGGGTGTGGAGGTAAGCAGTGCCGTGCTTTCTGACAACATCACTGCCACCCACTCTGCAGGCTGATGCACACAGCACTCCTTGTATTTGAGCATTGTTTTTCTCCAAAAAAGTCGCATGCAGTTGCACAATAAAGACACGGCTTATTTGTGTAATGCAAATCTGTTCCTGCTTGTTGGTACAAAGTGCAAGCAGCGAGCATCAAAGTGTGGAGACTTCACAGATCCTGCATGAACACTCGCCACTGAACTTCAGTGACATCCTGCATTATGTCAGAATAAAAGATGACATCACAGTTGGTCTGTGAGTGAATGGGATTTGAACTCAGGTTGAATGTTGCTGCTTGGAGCATTTGTGCTACTGATGCTCAACACCCTTTGCTGCTGTTTGTTTGTTTATGTATCTTTACAGCTGCTGAGTTTAGTTTCTCAAAGGTTAATTATTTTATCAGGAGCCAGTTAGAATTGGAGTTTCCTGCTTCCTTGTCTTTCTGTTGATTTCCTTTCCTGTTGAAACACAACTTTCTCTGTTGAATCAACTCTATTGCTGCACTCCTCAGTTTCCGTCTAGTGACTTGAAGTGTCTGAAATGGCCTGATATTCTCACACAGATATTGACAGTGGGGTCTGATGACTAAATTGTTGTGATAAAACAAAAATTCATTGGTTGATGCTGTTGAAATCCGCTGACTTTTCTGTGCTCCTAATAGAAGGCTTTAAAATATCCAGCTGCAGACTGATCCTCTCCAAGCATGTGACACTGACATCAGTCCTAGAAGTGAGGCGTTGAACTGCCTCCAAAAATGAGCTCATCGGGTAATATTCAATGCACTGATTTAGCAAAATATTAATTAATTTGATTACATGGTCATCTGTACATACTGTTTGAAAGATGGAAATTAATTCCAATTTTAGTTGCTGCTGTTCCAGATACCAGTGTTATAAAGATCCTGTCGATAGGACACTGTGCTCCCAGTGTATGCTGGGATCTGGGCTTGGCAGAGCCTATCTCTAATTGCCACTAGTTTGCTTTAAGACTTGCCAGTTTCTTGACTTTTCTTCTCCCTGCATCCCTCCCAATAAGCTGCAGGGAATAAGACAAGATTCTGTCGTCAAACCATCTGTCTGAAGCCACTCATAAAACTTGCTTAATTTTCTTGTGGCTCCCTTGACTTTTTTAAGTGGCTGTGTAAAAACACAGCCATGTGCTTTCCCAGAAGTTAGGGTAGTGGTCCATCTTCATCTTGACCTGCCTGGCATCAAAGCTGAGTGACCATAATGAGATTAAACCCTGGCAGAACTGCCCTGGAGGCTTCCTCCCCTCCTGTAGCTTGAGGTCCGCAGTAACTGCAGACATCCTCTTACAGCCCACACAAAGAGCATGGATTCAGGCAGCATTGGACTGAGGGTGACCCCAAATACTTGCCTATAATTTTATAAACTTGGAAGAAATTTTGTATTTGCCTTTAATTACTGTAGTAGCTCATTCTAGATGCAGCTGTCCAAGCACATCAGCATGTGCCTGATTATTTAGTTATTTGAAACATGGGCATAAGAGAAACAGTTTGTTAGAAGGATTCATGTGCATTTGTGCAGAAACAGCTTTGTCTTCCTCCCCCTACCCAGTATTTTCTGCCTTTTACTGCACATTGCAGGATTGTTAGTTTTGGATTCTGTTTCCCTCTGAACACAAGTCTTTATGGAGCTGCCCATAATGTTGCTCTTTCCTTTTAAGAAACACTGCTGCTAACTTAAGACAGAGGAAGATGCTGTGTGTTACAGGGCTGTAATGATGCCTGAATTGCAAACTGTTGTGCAACTAAAGAATGGTATTGTGCAAAACAGAATGGAAAAAACTGCTGCTGATGAGCACAGAGTTGAAGCAACGAGAAGCCCTACTTAGACAGCAAGAGGAGAAGCTGGTTGAAGAACAAGCAGTAGAAAACAAGATAGGAAGGCTCTGTTCCTGCAAGAGTAAATGATCCCTTCGAGCAGCCAAGGAGGCTGTTTGATGTGAACTCTGTGCAAAGTTCAGTGGACAGTGTGCTCCAATGTCCCGAGCAATGCTGCTTCTTCCTCCTTCTTGTTTACAAGAAGCTGGCATGATTTCAGAATAAACTTCTGAAACATCCTTGGTGGGAGAAGAATTGGGATGACAAAATATTTCTTTGCATCTAGAAAGTTATTGCAGCAGCAGTAATTGTTGAAGCTGGCTGAGTGGCTGCTGCCTGGTTTTGGTTAATATCAGGAGTTGTGCTGGTGGGAAGCGAGTCCTGGGGTGGGACTGTGCAGTTCCTGTTGTGCCTCAGCACAGTGCTCAGCTTACTTCAGATGCTGCCTCTGCAAAACGATGGAATAAACTTCTGCTTTTCCCAGTAAAATGCCTGTGGTACACACATCACGGAATTGTTTTTGTCCATCTTTATTTAACAATAACAAGGTTGTGCAGAAAACATGCAGGGCATGGAAATGGAGAGCTGAGCCCCATCCATCCTCTGCTGTGAAGGGTGGGAGGAGGTGGGGAAGCACGGAAAAGAGGAAAACAGCTTTGCCTGCGCCTGTTTTGATACTGAAGAGCTCTTCCCAGTGATCCGAGAAGGGGGTGGGGACAGAACCAGATGCTCTTAGGAAGTTCATACCATTGTTAATAATGTAATTCACAGATGGTGGTGAAGGCCTTGAAGAGGCTTTCATGCAGTACTTATGCTCTGTAACAGATCATCACATAAGGGCTCACAAATAGAGATGACTTAATCCCAAGGATGAGTCTACAGCGATCTGTTTGATGGTAGGCCTGCAGATCACTGCAACCTTTTTAAACAGTTAAGAGCCTTCAGGATCCCTGGATGTTGAGTACTAGAATTGGACCAATCCCTAATTAAATTGTCAGGATTAAATGTTTGTATAGCTTTGAGACTTTTCCAATGAAAATGGCTCTTGAAATTGAAAAACAAGTTCCTCCGTCCTGGTACAGAAATCAATACAGGAAAAGCATGAGCATTAGTTTGTACAATGACACCTTGTTAAAAGGCAGTTCTGCTTTTATTTCCATTTGTCTGCTTGCAGCTGGAAGCAGAGCTTGTGTGTGTTCTGAGTAGCTGTCAATACTTGGTGACAGCTAAGGAGGGTTGTGCCTTGCATGTCCTCCTATTGAAAAAGAAGTCGTTCACACCTATAAGCTTTATGGCAAATGAACAGGCTGCTGGTTTTCAGACATGTGGAATCAGAAAAGATTTAGCTCAAGTGCTTGCAATAAAATTCAATATTTCTATGTTTGTGAGAGGCTTACTGATAAGATCTTCACTGGCTGCTGGTCAGCTTTTGCTGTAAGCCGTGTAACTACAAGTATTTATCAGGGACTTGTTAGCAATACTGGCTTGCATGTGTAGCGCTAGAAATCAAAAGTTTCAAATGAGAACTGATCTTGGCTTTGTTTGTTGCTGTCTTTTCAAGTGCAGCTTCTTCTTTTCTAAGAGACATTCCCATTGTGGGTTTTATTATTATTATTATTATTAACTTCTTCAAGTTTAAATTGAGTTTAGTAAATTGACTTCTTGTGATGTTTGTCATGTGATGGTTTATGAGCTCTGAAGAATGTGCTCCTGTGACTTCAGCCATGTATTTGCCCGTACCAGTGCAGGCTGTATCATGTGTTCTTGTTGATCTTGCATTTTGAGCTAAGTAGTGGAGGGGGTTGGGAGGAAAGAAAAAAAAAAAGTGGGAGGGGAACTAATTCAGGGCTAAGCGATCCGAAATTCTCAGACTGCTTAATTTGTGACCTTGTTCCCTAGTTAAGTGCAACCCAGGATTTTCTGCCTCTTCCATAGTTTCACAGAAGTGTTTTCTTCATTAGAAGATGACTTCTCTTATAATCCTTGTTAAAAATCAGGAAAACCTAGTGCTTTGGTAAAAGAAATATCTTGACATCTTGAGGGAAGAGATTTTTTTAAATCCTTGGTGGGTAGGTGTGTTTTAACTGAGAAAGTTAGAAACTGTCTTTCTGATCCACATTTTTTGCATGTATCAACTGTGGCATCTGTAAAGCAATATCTTTATTACTACAGTAAAATGAACCAAGTTGAAATGACTGCATCTGTGCCAAGAATTTTTGGTTTCTCCACAATGGCCAAAGTTTTGGAGCACTAGAAATTCTGTCAGTGTGTCTCCAGCTCCTTGTCCCACTGCCTGCCAGTGATGTGTGTGTCCAGTGGAAGCAGAGCCCTCCCAGGACTGAGGACTCACAAGGTCAAAATACATATTAGGTTTATTTTGAGCAGCACTTTCCCGCATTGGGCATCCTTCTATTTATTTTCCTGACACCATGTAAAGCTGTTTTTCATTTATATATACACATACATATATATATATATGTGCTGCTACTGCTATTCAGTCCTCTACATTTCCCCCTCTGCATTTGTATAAATCATGTTTCAGCAGAGCTGTCCTTTATACAGTTCCCATATTATGAGGGTTTTTTGGTAGTTTTTATGTCTGCGTGGGCTAAGAATTTCTTTAGATTTGAATCCAACATTGAAGTAACATTGGTTTAATACAATGTTTTTATATCACCTTTTTTCTTCCAAGTTGGATTTTATTTTCAGCTCTGACTCTTATTTTTGCTGCATAATTTGAGACTTTTTGCTTGCTCTTCACATTATTTAAAAAAAAAACCAAAACAACCCACACACAAAACTCTGTTTTCCTGAGCTCATACAGTATTTCCACTTGGCTCAGAAGATGTGGATTTGTGAGCTGAGGGAATCCTTGTTTGGCTGGTCACCCAAGCCTTCTTCAAGCGTATTAGAAGGATCTACAGCTTAAGTTCATCAGAGGGCTGACCTGCTCTGGTTTTAATGAGATTTATTATACCTGTTTTAATGAGATTTATTATACCTGTACCTGTTGGATTCTGTGGTTTTGATCTTCAAATTGATCTGAATAAACCTGTTAGTGAAAGCAAAACTGTTGTTGTGGCATTGACATGGAGGTTCTGTGTGGTGTTTGGCAAAATGT